GTGTGTGTGTGTGTGTGTGTGTGTGTGTGTGTGTGTGTGTGACCCTGGACCACAAAACCAGTCATAAGGGTATATTTTTTTTTATCGTTTTCCATAAAGCTTTCCACTGATGTCTGGTTTGTTAGGATTGGACAATATTTGGCCGATATACAACTATTTGAAAATCTGGAATCTGAGAGTGCAAAAAAAATCTAAATATTGAGAAAATCGGCTTTAAAGTTGTCCAAATGAAGTTCTTAGCAATGCATATTACTAATCAAAAATTCAGTTTTGATATATTTACGGTAGGACATTTACAAAATATCTTCATGGAACATGATCTTTACTTAATATCCTAATGATATTTGGCATAAAAGAAAAAAAAATAATTTTGACCCATACAATGTATTTTTGGCTATTGCTACAAATATACCCCAGCGACTCAAGACTGCTTTTGTGCTCCAGGGTCACAAATAAGTATATATATTAAATAAAGGGGACTGAACTGTTAAAACATGTTTTTAAAATTACAATATTTAATATTTAAGAATGTAAAAAAATAAAAAAACTGATCAACCAACTCACATGCAAGTATACAAAACATAAAAAACACATGTTAATTTATCTTTTTTATACAAATGCCAAATGGCAGAGCTGTCTAAGAAAATAAGAAATAAAATATTGCACCCATTTGTAGCAAGGTTTATGCTTAAAGTAACTGAAAAATATATTCCGAATCCGAAATAAACTTGAAAATACACTCTCTGAAAACAAGTTTTAATGTTTTAAGCAGTTTTGCTTCACACAATTTGTAGATATTTATTATTGTAAAAAAACATATATTTTGGGATAAAAATCATTTTTGATTAGTAGTTTAGTAGCTTATGGAAAAGGAAATCTTTTTTTTTTTTGTCAGAATCAAATTTATTGGTCAAATTGGTTGCACTTAGAAGAAATATATCTTCTGGTGCTTAAAAGCAGCCTCTTCATTTATTGATTGGTTATGAATGTTTGTGCGAGCTGCATTATAACGCAGCCACTAAACTAAAGCTTAAAGTCAATGTTTCCTCACTCACTCACAGATCCACCTGCAGCCGTGTCCGTCTCGAGCTCTTCGCCCTGGGCGGGGGAGAGTGGAAGCGCCCCGGTGCTCCGGAGACTTCAGCAGAACCGTGAGAAGAGAATCTCTCGCATAAAGGCTTCCGAGTCCATTATATGGGAAGAAAAGTGAGTTTTGAGGGTCTTTTAGTCTGACCTTCTGCACTTTTGAAAAAGGCGATGTTGAACTAAGTATGACTTCAACACCTATTTCCTTCTGCCAGATGCCTCTTGGAATTTGTTTAAAGTAAATGTCACAAAGCTGAATAAAGCATTAACCCTGCTAACCAAGCGATGAAAAAAACCAAGGACCCATGCGTTCAAAATTGAATTATGAAAGAAATAAAAGACATTCTTTCTGCACATACTCAGTCTGTCTTTTCTTTGCACTCAGTCTGCGTTTGCTGTTGTGTTGGACATTTGTGCTTTTGAGGCGTGAATTCTTCCATTAAAAGACTTGACTTTCTTGAATAATTGACTTGCACAAGTATTTGGACCTTTGAACGGTTCTCTCATTTTGCTGAATTACAAATTCGACGGACATTTTATAAGCTTTGAAACTCAAAATTATTTAATGTGACATTGCTCTGTATTCATAAAACCAGCATTGCACCCTGCTCGGGTTTTATTGTGTGTCATTCTTGGTAAATTTGTTCTTCAGATTTGTATTGCAATGCTAATACAATACCAATCTCATTTGGACTGAGATCAAGGCTTCGACTCAGTGTAATCAAGTTCATCCTGTCGTTTTTGATTCACAACCTTGCTAATTTGACTCTATATTTGGGATTATTGATTTGGAGAAAGGCTAAATAAATTGTCACCATTCTCCACATATGCTTTCACATGTTTCACTTGTCTTGTGTCAATTTCCCGCAATATTAACTTTTAATCAAAACAGTAAAAATTGGCCTTCTCTAGCTACAAATACTTATGCAAGAAGAGTGTGTAAAGCTAATATATACTTAACATTAAAGAGTTTAAGCTACCATGGCTACCATACCATTTACCATAAAATAATGTCTGTGTAAAGAGATTAGAGAACTACTCATTCTGGAAATGAAAACTGAAAAAAACGTATTATTAGGTAAGTATCAGAAAATATCAGGTGCGATTGTGTGTTATTCTTGATACATCTGTTGTTCAGGTTTGTACTGCATAACACCAAATAATCTAATTTGGATTGAGAATAAGGCTTTGGCTCAATAGTCAAGTCCATCTTGACATTTTTGACCAACAACCTTTTTAATTTGACCCTGTATTTGGGATTATTGATTTGGAACATGGCAAAATAAGTTGATGCTTTCACATGTTGTCACCTGCGATTATAACTGAGGAGTTTTTATTCAAAAAAATTAAAATTGACCATCTCTTGCAACACTTATGGGGCAAATACTTATGCAAAATTGTGTAAAGCTGATCTTAACCTAAAAGACTTCAAGATACCATAGCCAGAAAATATGCCTTTTTTTATTTTTACTTAAAATAATGTCTGTGTAAAAAGGTTAGTTCAGGTTAGACAGATGCACTGCAATGTTACAAAAATAAAAGATAATCTCATTTGGATTTAAATAAAGGCTTTGACTCAATGTAATCAAGTCCATCTTGTCTTTTTTTTTACCTACACCCTTGTAAATTTGACTTTGTTTATTGACAAAGTCAATAATATGATTATTGATGTGGAAACTGTCAAAATACATTTTTGCCATTCTCCAGACATGCTTTCTTGCGCAATAATAATACTAATAACTGAGGAGTTTTAACCCAAAAAGTAAAAACTGTCCATCTCTTGCAAATACTTATGCAACAGTGTGTAAAGCTGATACTTAAAATACTTGAAGCTACCATGGCTGGAAAATATGCTTTTTTTTTTTACATAAAACAATGTCTGGGAAAATATATTATTTTAGAGAACTGCTAATGTTTTAATGAAAACTGTAAAAAAAAATAAAAACAGCCATATTAGGTAAGTCACTGTATAAGCTGTCAGTGTCAAAACCTTTTGGTGAGTTTATCCGTCCATCTGGAAACACCTGGAATGAAAAGGGCAGCCTTTTCTCCTAACACCTCCACACTGCTATTCTTTGATAAAAGCATTTTAAATGGAGTACAATTATTTTCCACTCTCGCTCACTTTTGCCTCTCTCCTTTTAAAACGCAGTTCGTTCTGTAAGGATCCCTCTCACCCAGTGAGCTTTTCATCTAACAAACACTATAAGGAATTCATGTTTTCCCCCAGAAACTGAAAGGTGTCTGATTTAGGTGTGTGCACACCTGTGTGAGTGTGTTTGTGTGAGGCAGAGGGTGAGGAGACGTGTAGATGTGGATGTAATATGCATGACCAAAACAAAGAGCCGGTGGAAAAAATTCAAAATGTGTGAGGTCCTTGGAAAGTCCTCTTTTAATTTAAATTACTATTTAATTTAATTTGATTTGATTTGATTTGATTTGATTTGATTTGATTTGATTTGATTTGATTTGATTTGATTTGATTTGATTTGATTTGATTTGATTTGATTTGATTTGATTTGATTTGATTTGATTTGATTTGATTTGATTTGATTTGATTTGATTTGATTTGATTTGATTTGATTTGATTTGATTTGATTTGATTTGATTTGATTTGATTTGATTTGATTTGATTTGATTTGATTTGATTTGATTTGATTTGATTTGATTTGATTTGATTTGATTTGATTTGATTTGATTTGATTTGATTTAATTTAATTTAATTTAATTTAATTTTATTTTATTTTATGCACCTAATTGGTGCATTAGCATACCTGGAACCTAAACAGACATTTTCTTATTTGACTAATATTGATAGAATCACTACATTATTATTTATTTTATTTTATATTTAATTTGATCATTTAATTTAATTAAATTTTTTTTATATAATTGCACCTAATTGGTTCATAAAATGCCCGCAGTGAGCAGAGCTGGAATCTATGAAGACATATTTTATTATTATTATTATTATTATTATTATTATTATTATTATTAAACTAATATTTTTAGAATTACTACATAATTCTCATACTTTTATTTTTATAAATGCACCTAGTTGGTTGAGAAAATGTCCACAGTGTGCAGAGCTGGAATCTATCAAGACAGATTTGATTAATATTTGTAGAATCGCTACAGAATTCTCATACTTCCATTAGCGTTATTATTTCTCCGTTTTTTTCCCACATGTGCAATACCGCCTCCAGCCTGAGTGGCGCTGTTTGTCATCAGACTCCCACTTCAGCTGCGAGCTACGGCTGAGGAAGCCGCAGAAGAAACTTTGACCGCTTCAGTTGTTAGCCTAGCAGCGGAGACACACATCTCCTTTATTGTTTACCAGTCCCGTATTTATTCGACTAGCCCTTTTAAAAAGATGTGGTTTATTTATTTACTCAGCTGGTTGTCGCTGGTGGTGCAGATATGTTTCGTTACTCTCGCTATCGGTGAGTTTTATGTCGCTGCTGTTAGCCGCTAACTCCCTTTTGCTGACGCGACCAAAGAAATCCCACTCACTGCTCCTGTGCCTTATTATCTGTAAAATAGCTGTTTATTATTAATTAATAGTAGCCTAATACAAATAATACAAATCAAATGACAGATAGATGGATAGATATAATGCATTACAAAATTATTTTAATATTTAATTTATTAATTATGCCTTATAATGCACTCTAGGATCCCATGAATGATTGTAACCACAGTTATAACACATTATAATACTTGTCTATTCATTGATTCACTTTTAGAAGGTATAATGCAAATACACAACCAATTTCAGATGTAACCAGGAATCTGCAAATATTATAATGCATTTGAATTTCAGCTAGTTATTTATGAAAATATGTAATGTTTATTATGTTTACCTTTGTAATGCGTTATGCATAAAGGCTAGGCCTGTCACGATAACAGCTTTTTGTTGTGCGATATATTGCCCCAGAAGTAATTATTATTATTATTATTATTATTATTATTATTATTATTATTATTATTATTATTATTATTATTATTATTATTATTATTATTAAACTAATATTTTTAGAATTACTACATAATTCTCATACTTTTATTTTTATAAATGCACCTAGTTGGTTGAGAAAATGTCCACAGTGTGCAGAGCTGGAATCTATCAAGACAGATTTGATTAATATTTGTAGAATCGCTACAGAATTCTCATACTTCCATTAGCGTTATTATTTCTCCGTTTTTTTCCCACATGTGCAATACCGCCTCCAGCCTGAGTGGCGCTGTTTGTCATCAGACTCCCACTTCAGCTGCGAGCTACGGCTGAGGAAGCCGCAGAAGAAACTTTGACCGCTTCAGTTGTTAGCCTAGCAGCGGAGACACACATCTCCTTTATTGTTTACCAGTCCCGTATTTATTCGACTAGCCCTTTTAAAAAGATGTGGTTTATTTATTTACTCAGCTGGTTGTCGCTGGTGGTGCAGATATGTTTCGTTACTCTCGCTATCGGTGAGTTTTATGTCGCTGCTGTTAGCCGCTAACTCCCTTTTGCTGACGCGACCAAAGAAATCCCACTCACTGCTCCTGTGCCTTATTATCTGTAAAATAGCTGTTTATTATTAATTAATAGTAGCCTAATACAAATAATACAAATCAAATGACAGATAGATGGATAGATATAATGCATTACAAAATTATTTTAATATTTAATTTATTAATTATGCCTTATAATGCACTCTAGGATCCCATGAATGATTGTAACCACAGTTATAACACATTATAATACTTGTCTATTCATTGATTCACTTTTAGAAGGTATAATGCAGATACACAACCAATTTCAGATGTAACCAGGAATCTGCAAATATTATAATGCATTTGAATTTCAGCTAGTTATTTATGAAAATATGTAATGTTTATTATGTTTACCTTTGTAATGCGTTATGCATAAAGGCTAGGCCTGTCACGATAACAGCTTTTTGTTGTGCGATATATTGCCCCAGAAGTAATTGCGATAAGCGATATTATTGCCATTTTAAAGACCATTTTATGCCACTGAATATATAATCATAATGTAACAGCATAATAATGCAAGAAGGTCTACACACTTCCAAATGACAACAAACTTTTCATTTTTAAGAATATTTAGATCATGGAAATGAAGTATCAAAATATCCGATACCTTAAAAAACCTGAATAAATAGTAAATAAACATTTTCTAACAAAAAGTGCAAAGTAGCAAGTAGAAAAAAAGAAAACTGCACAAAGATCTTTCCATCTACAGATTTTTCCCTGACCTTCTTTTCTCTGTAAATGAAGGGTGCACACTATTGCTGAAAAACACAATCACTACTCGGCAGTCAGATGTCCGTCAGATCCCTAAACAAGACCATATCTGCAGATGAAACTCTTTTTGTAGAAGCATTTTTAAATGTGACCTAGCACCTCATGACTACACCACGTTATGCACGAGAAGCTGCGAAAGACACGGGCGCAAGTGGAATGCAAAAAACATGGTGACATTAATTTTTTAAGTAAATATAATGGGCGATATATTGCGTCACCAAAAATGATTGAGGTCATATATTGCGCGAGAAGTCGATATATTGATTATTGCGACAGGCCTAATAAAGGCTTATAAAATAAAGTGTTGTCTTATACAGTCTGTTTGTATAAGCTTGTAGTTTTTCTCAGTTTGCTATTTGTCTTCACAGCTGCAGGCCTGTATTACCTGGCAGAGTTAATCGAGGAGTACACAGTCGCCACCAGTCGCATTATAAAATATATGATTATGGTGAGTATTACGTTTATTTTGACGTGTGTGGCATTGCATTGGTGATGCTTGCATAGACTAATATTGGTGGAACTCCAGCCATATCTGGTGACCAGAGTGTCATACTGAACACAAATCCTTTTGAATCATATTCAGACTGTCGCCAGTGTAATTTGCCAGTGAGAATTGCATGCATTTGTCAATATCCATCGGTTACTTTAGTAGGCATCAGCACAATGTTTTCTCCAACAGTACTTCAGACAGTATTGCATGCTTTTTGTGATGTTAGGTAGGTTACATATGCTTCACGTCTCATCTAACTCGTACTCTCATCTCTCAGTTCTCCACAGCGGTGCTGGTGGGACTCTATCTGTTTGAGGGCTTCCCCACGCTCATGATCGGAGTGGGTCTCTTCACCAACCTTGTTTACTTCGGTCTGCTTCAGACGTTTCCATATATCATGCTGACCTCGCCAAACTTCATCCTGTCATGTGGTGCGTGATGAAGAGCATCTTAGGAGACATATTTGACTATGATCTGTGTGCTTGTGTTCTCCTCTCATCTGTGTCTTTGCTCTCTTTTGCAGCACTGGTTGTGTTCAACCACTATATGGCCTTCCAGTATTTTGCGGAGGAGTACTATCCTTTCTCTGAGGTTGGCTCTTTTTCATTTTAAAGACTTAAACCTAAAAAATGCTGCTTAAAGGATGTCAGAGTTTACTGTGGGATGGAGTTCAGACTAATGTGTGTGTGTTTTCAGGTTCTAGCGTACTTCACTGTATGTCTGTGGGTGATTCCATTCTCATTTTTCGTTTCTCTCTCTGCTGGGGAAAATGTTCTTCCATCCACTGTGCAGCAGGGAGGTGAGTGACTATCTGACAAAGCAAATTGTGTTTTCATACAGTCTATATGACCACACGGGTGTGTTAAACTATATCCTTATCCTTAAACTTTCAGGGGTGATTGAAATACTGGTGTATAAATTAAATTAGTAGGAGTCTGTGTAAAAAGTAGTGGGATTGAGTGAATTATCTCTGGATATGTTCAAAATGTTAAAAAGTGGGCAAAGTTCGCTTCAGAATCAATGCAAAATCTTTCAGTTAAAATTTTGTTTGGTTTTAAAAAGTGTAGATACCATAGTTTAATACATAGTGCATAATGTAAAAATAACATATTTAATGGAATTATTTAATGCCATTTAGTATAATTGTAAGAAGCACATTTTAAATAAAAAAAGTGCATTTTAACACTGAAAAAAATTGTCCAAAAATGTGCATTTTTATTGCACATTGTTTTTTTCAGTCTAATTCAATAATGATAAATAACGTAATAAAAATATAGATTTTATTAAAAATAAATTTGTTTTTATTTTGTAATTCTTACCTTCAGAAAATATTCAGATATGCATTTTACTTGGAACACTTTAGATATGCATTTTACTTGGAATTAATACTTAATTAATACTAATTAAGTATTAATTAATTAAGTCTAATTACATAAAACGAATAAATAAATATAATAAAAATAATTTATTTAAAATATTTTTTTGTAATAAATGTGCCTTCAAAAATAATCAAATGTTAATTGAACTTTGAGCATTGTTTCACAGCCTAATAAAAATAAATAAATAATCCAAAATAAAAATAATAATTTTATTAAAAATAAATGAGCTTTTTAAAAAGAATTTATATACCTTTAAAAATATTCAATATGCATTTTACTTTGAACATTGTCTGATTAAATAAAAATAATAAATGCAATTATAAAAATAGATTTTATTAAAATAAGTTTTTAAATAAAGCTTTTTTGGTAATTCACATACCTTCAAAAAATATTAAAATATGCATTTTTCAGTCTAATAAAAAAATAGTAATAATAATATTAAAAATAAATGTTCTGTTGTAATTTACATGCCATCAAAAATATATGGGGTTCCATTACAATGTGCATATTATGATATTATCATCAGAATGTTACAGAATAATGTAATTCAAATTTTTACTGATCACCCACTTCCATCCAGACATTTATAGCAGTGAAGTCTAAGTCCTATTTAACTCCTGTTCATTATTCCCTGTTCCTGTGTTTTTCTCAGACGATGTGGTGTCAAATTACTTCACTAAAGGCAAGCGGGGCAAGCGCTCGGGCATCCTGCTCATCTTCTCTTTCCTGAAGGAGGCCGTTTTGCCAAGCCGACAGAAGATGTACTGATGAAGCGGTTCATATGCGCATTGGATGGAGGGGTTTGGGAGGGTTTGTTCAGGCCACCGGCCCCTTTAAGTGGACAGCTTGTTTTTGTGGGAGAATCGATGATCATGAGATTGAATCTGTAGCCGAGGGAGAGGACCAGATCAGAACAAACGCACATTAACCCTCGAATGAACTTACCTGTCTGTTGTTTCATGTCCAGAGTTGCCAGCTAATTTCTTCTTAGGCGTCTAAAGACATGAAAGGACACGTGAAGTCTTTCATTCGTAAAGGCTTGATCTTCTGTCTATACGTGGATGATTGTGGAAGGGGCTCTTGCTGATTTTCTTCTAATCGCATCACTTCGAAAGCCAATTCGCTCATGAATTGATGTGTCTGGATTTTTTGTTCACATTTCAAAGAAATGTTTTACCCTGAATCCAGTGTTTGTTTCGCTCACTCTTCATCACATCTTACACTACACATATTTGTTTAAAGTTAGACTTTAAGCAAGTCATTTTTTAATAACCTGATGTTGAGTCAGTTTCAGTAAGGATTGTTTGTGTTGATTTATAAATCCATTTTATATCAGCTGGTGGTGTGACAAGCAAAGAAAAGCTCGTTTTAGGGTAAAATGTTGCTTTAAATACTGCAGTCATGAGAGCCATAGTGTTGGCCATGCTTAATTTGTGTGCTGTACAGGAGTATAATAAAATTCAGTTGTATGAGTTTTTGAAAGGTAAACATTGTCATGTACAAATTAGGATCTGATGCATCGTGGGTGAATCTTAGAAACAGATAAGGTCACATTTCAGCCCAAAATCACTTAAAAGAAAATATTGCATTAAGAAAATTAAGGCTTTTTTAGCATTATTAAGATTAAGCGATTTGCGCATTGTTTTTGCCAGTCTAATAAATTAACATTTTTAAATAAATTTGCTTTTGTAATTAAAAATTTGCCTTAAAAAAAACTCAGTCAGGATGACATTAATTTTTCTAAGGTCTAAAAATGTGTATTAAATGTGCTCAACTATCAGAAAATGTTCATGCTAAAAGTGTTAACAATTAAAGCAAATTTATGTGCTTTATCAGGAAATGTTTAGGCAAAAAGTCTTAACAATTGAGCTTATCAATAAAAAAGCCTATTTTCCCATTTGGATAAAAAAAAACAGCAGATAATTGTTCATAAAATAAGCTTAATTTTCTTTAAAGTGTTTAAACCTCAGACCTCATGAACATGTCTTGCAGGAATCACCCCAAGCAGAACTTTTGATTAAATCTGGGTTGCGTAATATAGATCTTTGACCAAAATGCAGATTTTGTTCATTTTCTTAAAAGGCAAATGTGAAGAATTTCTAATAAAATGTCCGAATGACTCAGAGGGGCTCAAACGCGGTCTGTACTGACACATTTGCACTCCTCTGTATTTGGCAGACGGGATCTTACACTTGGGAGTGCAAGGTTGAGGAAAGGTCAGCACGCATTCATTTCAGGAAGCTCTCGTCTGGGGAGAGAATCACTTAGGAGGGCGGATTAAGTTGCCCTTTGCTGGTGTTATCAGACTATTTTGTGGCATGTTTCGTAATGGCTGAGGTTAAAGTCGACATACAGAAAACTGATTCTAGGTCAGTGTGAAAGGGCAGCGCTTTTCTCGCATGTCAAAAATGAAGCCAAGTGTCCTCTGGGATCGGATGACGACAGCAGAGCTGTTTTGGGCCATGACCCGGGTCACTGTGGTTTCGACCTTGACGCCTCCAGCCTCCAAACCGCATTCGCTCAGAGTTCAACTTTCATTAACACCTACATAGTTCAGCATTGAGGAACTTTTCAGAGATTTTTTTCCCCCGCCTATATACATGTTTTCTACTCCCTTTTTCACCCTTTGATGATGTGCATGCAGAAGCACGTTGCAGTTAAAAGCTACTCCACAAATTTTAGCCTTTGCTCAGATTTTTTGTGTTTTGGAAAAGCCTTCGACTCTCGCTGAATCTCACAAAACCTGTCGAGAACGTGTCAGAGCCATAGACATAGGCTTTGATTCCAGGTCCTTTTTCCCATTGCTTCCTGCGTCATCTACACTGTAGACAAAAGCACAATTTAATTTTCTACTTTAATGTGAAAATAAAAACAATCAACATTCTGAAGTGTTTATACACTACCGTTTAAAAGTTTGTGGTCGGGAAGATGTTTTAAATGTTTTTGAGTCTCACCAAGGCTGCATTTATTTGATTAGAAAAACAGGAAAATTGTGAAATATTACAATTTTAAATAACTGTATTATTGTAATATATTTTAAAATGTAATTTATTCCTGTGATGCAAAGCTGAATTTTCAGCATCATTACTCCAGTCTTCAGTGTCACGTGATCCTTCAGAAATCATTCTAATATGCTGATTTGCTGCTCAAGAAACATTTCTGATTTTTATTAATGCTGAAAACAGTTGTGCTATAATGCGGTGCAATGTTTTGGTGGGAAACGTCAAACATTTTCTTTTCTTTCATGAATAGAACGTTCAAAAGAACAGCATTCATTTGAAACAGAAATCTTTGGCAACATTAAAAATGTCTTTACTGCAACTAAAAGTTTTAATTGCTTATATAATTTACTGGTTGCACACCAGTCTGTTATTGTCGGGACAGAGATTTTAAAATGTACTTTTTCATGCCCCTAAACATGATTGGTTGCTTTACATGCCAATCAGACACCTCTTGGGCGGTTCTTAGCCAATGAAAGCTGCGATGGAGTCCAGTCCTTCTGCTGTCAATCTGAAAGTTGGAAACTATTGAGAACATGACTTTGGTGTCTATAGATGTATACTCTCTATACTCTCTGAAAGAATAAGGTACAAAAGTTGTCACTGGGGCGGTACCTTTGAAAAGGGTACAACTTTGTACCTTATTTACCCCTAAAGAGTGCATATTAGTATATTAAAAGTACATTTTAGTGCCTTTTGTTAAAGATACCACCCCAGTGACCTTTTTTTCTAATTGTGTAATGTGTCTAATAGTGTCCTGGCTTCAGCTCCTCAGCCAGGTGCATGGCCACCTCAGTCCAGGGCGAGGCATCTGGTTTTAGGGAGCGACCCAAGTGAGGCAGATCCAGCACACTGCAACACTGGAGCTGCCTGAGATCATGTAGCTGTTTGCTTTTCATGATCCTCTTCTGTTTGTCTTTCCACCACATGGCATCTTTCAGAAACCTGTTGCACAAACACATTTATGTTCATTTGCGTATCTGACTTCATGCCATCAGCTTTTGCCCATATGCAATGTGATGTAAATGCATCTAAATCAATAGCACCTGACACCGATACCTGGCAGTGAGCCTGTGGCCCCAGATCCTAGAGAGGTCGAGGGGTGTGTGACCCCTCTTGTCTTGAGCATGTATGTCTGCCCCGTTTCTCACTAGCGTCTCTGTACTGTCTGTCAGACCTTCAGCAGCGGCCAGATGCAGTGGAGTGAGTCCTTCATCTGTGTAGCTGAGGATACAACAACTCTGAGGAAGCTGAAACAGTTTTAAAGGGGTCCTATTATGCTTTTTCACTTTTTCATCTTTAGTTAGTCTGTAATGTTGCTGTTTGAGCATAAAAAAGATCTGCAAAGTTACAAAGCTCAAAGTCCACTTCAAAGGGAGATATTTTATTTAATAGAAATCACTTTTCAAAAACTACAACGAACAACTCGTTTGGACTACAATGCATATTTTCCAGGATTTGTGATATCATAAATACCAACAAATGGGACGAGACCTGGTTGAGCTGCATTAGAGAAGGCAACGAGTGTTATCACTATGTCGGAGACTTAGCTTTCCCAAGGCAGACGAACTTAGAGTGATTACAATCATCCGGGTTTAAATCAAGCTCAAATTGATTTGATTTGATGCAATATTTACACTGAAGCTCACAGGCGGCTATGGTAAG